ACTTATATATATTTTTTTCCTTCTCTCCAGCTGGAATGTTCCTTTCTGAAACTCATAACCTCTTCTCTTTCTGGTGTGCACCTCTAAGCAAGGTCTGGCATTTCTAATATCAAGACAATCTGAGTTAGCAAGTAAATTGTACTGTGAAGGTATATTATACACTTGAGCCAAGCTGACAGCTCACCACTAACAGGGACAGACCAGCCCTGTACATGTCCCACAATCTAATTTCAGTGCCCCTGTTCTAGCTCTGCAACCTAAACGGCTGCACAGATAGCAAATTTGTCTTGTTAACCTGACAGAAATCCATTCCCTTGTTTAGTTCCTATGTCATCTCAGCAGTACTAATATCTTCTGCACAGGGTCACAAGGGAGAAAGTGGAGCTGCAGGTAAGAACAGAGCACCCTTTTTGAAGGGAGGTGGGTGGAACATGCTATAGCCTATGACTTTCCATTTAAGTGTCACAGAATATCATATGCTAAAAAATTTCCATCTGCTTTAATAAACTCTCAGCCAATAACTAGCTAGTCTTCTTAGGCATGCTTCCTACTTCATCCTCTCACCCCTGGGATGACATTTTCCATTTCGTTCCTCAATAATACATCCTATGTCTTCTGTCATCCATGAAGACAGTTATTAAAATAGTGCTTAACTAGTACTAATTATATTTGGCATTAATTACCACCTGAGTCAAACAGAACATAACAGATAGGAAATACATTTGATTAGGGGATGTTATGCCAGTTGGAAACAGAGGAGCAGTAAGTTCATTCAGTTCATACAGATGCTGATGTATGATGTTTACCAAGCCAAAGTCACAGAGGCCAAAGGAGTATACCGGTCTGTTGCACTGAAAAACTTCACAGCAAAGCCCTAATGGGGATCTTATTTCAAGTAAACATCACTTAGCTTTACTGGAAAGGAATGAGGTACCCCAAAAAGCACATACTTTTCATATAGCAAATATTCTCACACACACCAAAGAAAACTGTCATAGTACCAGCCTTCGAAGTCACATTTGGCAGCTAATGACAACATAAGTTCCATCTTTTATAACAACTCTTCAATTATACCAAATTTTGATAATTTCCCAAACTAAGCCTTTTGAATGTGGGCTACCCAGAACCTGCTGAAAGTTGTTACTGATAACAAAGGAAAAGCATTTCCATAGAGCTGTAGAGAAGCTTGGTGAGAGAACAAATTGAATCTTTCCAGTTTTTAAACATGGCATGTCATGGTTTGTAAAGTCCATAAAGATCAGCAGTTTATAAGATCAGGACTCATGTATCCTTTATCTGACACATAAAAAGTAATTTTCCAAAGGCAAACTCAACTAACCCAGATTAATGAAGAAAAAAAAAAAGAATTATGAAAATACTTATCAAGATTTAGAGAGCTCACAGTAATCCATACTTATCCTCGAGGAAAGTTAATTAAACTCATTCAGGTCTTTTTATTAGCACATCTGAATTTCTCTAGTCCATTATTCTCCTACAGGCTCAATATTTCAGCCTGAAATCAAGACAAGTATCACGTAAATCACCACTCCCTGCTCCATCCTTTGATACACTGCACCATTTTTGATGCATCCCTAGCCAACCATATTTTACAAGGATTGCTCCGGTATTTTACAGGATTGTCTTACCTGCAACAGACTGCCACAAGAAAACCTCACTGAATCCCTCCACAGCTCTCTGCCCAGTTAAAACTTCTGCCACCTATTGTCACCATTCACAGCTTAACCCTTTCCCATTGCTCCACGTTTGACTCCACTGCAAAGTGTTGACCTCTACTCATGCCCTTCACCACTAGCACCAGGTTCACCATCCTCCCTCCCCCAAGTCCTCAAATTTTTACAGAAATACCTTTCTAAGTGATCTCACCAGTTTGCTTGATCAGTTCACAGCCTCTCAACAGTCACAAACAGATACTTCCTGCCCTCATTCCCAAGCAGACCTTCTGCCAAACAGTGCAGTCCTCTGGCTAAATGGTATTCAGATCACCATTGTCCACGTGCAGTCCTGAAACACAATTACACCTTTGTTTTTTGCACATTTGCTAGCAAGAGAGAACAGGAGCAGTGAACATAACCTTCTCAGACTCTGGGGTCTCGCACCCACCTTTGTAAAGCACCTGGTGACCTGCACTCCTCTCCTCCAACGCTCCAAAGACCCGATGATTTTTAAGAAGGAACACAGAGCAATAACCCTATACAGTTCTCACAGTTCTTCCACAGCCAACCCTCTTTAAAGCCTGACTCCGGGTCCTTACCCTAACGGAGAGCTTTTGTAAATATCTTTTATCCAGCTTCCTCAGTAAAAGCCATCTAACTAATTCTTGTCAGTTTAGTGTTGCCTATAAAACTTCCAAGAACAGATGTGGAAAAGAAATAAGAAAAAGCTAAAGAGCACAGCAAGTCAGCTTTCATACAGTCAGAAGCTGATCAGAAGAAGCTGGACAGTCAACAAGGATCCTAACATGCATGTGCTTGCAGATCCAAGATATATTTTACCAGTAAGTTGAGCATCTATTCTTCAACAGAAGCATAAACATTACCATAAGAGGCCTGTATCTTTTCACTGTATTATATTAATACATTTATTTAATTTAACTCCACAGTAAGTTGCTATTCCGGCTATGCTAGGGAAACAATGCCCACACAAGTAACATTTAGTCTTCTACCACAGATGCAAGACTTTGGAGATATAACTCCACGTGCTGTTGATTTGATACTGAAAATTACCTAACCACCAGCTTCATTTCACACACATGTTCTGTCTCATAATACTTATTTCCCCTATGCAGTCAAACATCCCTGACAATTACTGCAGCAATGTTATTTTTGAAAAGGTGATACACAGACATTACGAGAACATCTAACAATCTATACAGTCACGTTTTGCAAAGCATGCACAAATCAAAAACAGCTCAAAGTTTAAAATGCATCACCGGTCACATACTTTTAGAAGTATTTCTGTAAAAGGAATAGTGCTTGTTGCCAAGCTATCTATCTTTACTTTCCCATTTAGAAACATAGTCAATGTTTTTCGGGCTTTGACTTCATAAGGAGTAACACACATGCATTTTGATGGGACACCCTGCAGTAAAGCTGATCACCTGTCGCTTTACAGTCAGGCTGTTTCAGGGAGACATTGAGCTGCCATTGTTCAGGCTCTGGCCATTGATTAATTATTGATACCAGGCAAACTTTACTATTATTTCTTTGGGTTTTTTGAAACCCCTAACTATCAACAACTTACAAAGTTTATTTCTGTTGGAATTGCTTTTTGGTAAGATAAGTTCTGTGGGGAAGGCTTTCAGTTGGACATTTTTGGAAGATCTGGAAGGAAGACCTGTAAACTATACTAGCCAACATACAGCTTTTCATTCAACTAACAAGTCTTTTATAAGGATGCACAACCAGGATGTCTTAACACCAACAGTCACTGCCAGTACCCAGCTGCATCACATTTCTAATCTTTTGCCATATGGACTTAATTTTCCACGCCATTATGAAACTAAGACAACACATTCACAGTCAGCAGGAATAATTAATTGATAATAAACAGACCAGGGTGCGAAGCACCATTAATGGCTTTGCTTCAAGACCGCAGCACCGTGAACCTGTGGCTGCTCGGTACTCTTCGGCTTAAAGGAAAACTCTGGAACGGGATCGCGCCACTCCCGAGGCCGCTTCCACGCTGCCCCCGGCGCCTCGCTACCCGCGCTCGGCTAGGGACGCGTGCGATCTCCCGCCGCCCCGGGACGTACCCGGGGCCCCGGCCCCACCGCCGGGAGGGAGAATTGCTCACTGGCAACTTCGGCGAGGGTCTCCGTAGCGGGCAGTGGCGGTGCGGGGGCTCAAGGACGGGACGCCCCGCAGCCAGGGTGTGCAGCGCGGGGCGCGGGCAGAGCCTGCCCAGGGCGGCGGGAGCGGGCGGCACATGGAGCAGCGGCGCGGCGTGCGCGGCGGGGCCGGCCACGCTGCGGGGCCACGGAGACCGGCCGGGGAGGGACAGGGAGGGACGGAGCTCGGCCGCCCGGGCAGCGGGACGGGGCGGTGTGGGCGCCACTCCCCGCCGGGCTGCGCCCTGAGCCCCGCGCCCCAGGGGCGAGAGCGGCGCGAGCGGAGGCAGGGAAGGGACAGAGGTCCGGCGCGGGCGCCCCTCTCGGGGCGAGGCGTCGCTCCGGGCGCGGCCGTGCCGCCGCCCGCCTCACCATGAGCACTTTGGCCGCGTTCTCCAGCTGGGCGATCACCTCGGGGGCACCCCCCGCCGCCGCGGCCGCCGCCGCCATCATGGTCTCTCTTCAATGACGCGCCATGCGCTGCATTCTGGGGCGAGGCGGCCGCGCGGCCAATCCCGGCCCGGCCCAGCCCCGCCGCGGAAGCGAAGCGGCGGCGCCGCTGCAGCACCGCGACCGCCGGGCGGGGACAGCGCCCGCTCTGCGCCAGCCTCCCTCCCGCCTTCCTTTCCCCTCCCCTCCCACCCCGACCGGCTGCCTGGGGGGCGGGCCCGGCCCGGCGCACGCGGCGGGACCTGCGGAGCCGCGGGGCGGGGCAGCCGCCGCCCCCTGTCTTGTCGAGGTCGCCGCACCTGCCCGGCCCGCAGGTTGTTATGGCTGGAAGAGACCTCTGGAGATTATCCAGTCCAACTCCCCTGCCAAGGCAGGTTCACCTAGAGCAGGTGACACAGGAACGGATCCAGGTGGTTTTTGAATGTCTCCACAGAGGGAGACTCCACGCCCTCCCTGGGCAGCCTGTTCCAGTGCTCTGCCACCCTCCGTGCAAAGAAGTTCTTCCTCATGTTGAGGTGGAACTTCATGTGTTTTAGTTTATGGCCATTGCTCCTCGTCCTGTCGCTGGGCACCACCACACCACGAAAAAGAGTCTGACTCCATCCTCTTGGCACACGCCCTTGAGCTATTTACCTGCATTTCCTTGGGCTTCCCGCTGAGCTCAGGCGCCAGTGAGGCTGCAGGCGCTGGGTAGTGGCATTCCCTTGTGCCTAGCAGTGTTTGCAGACTTGTAGTGGGATGAGAACCTTAGTATAAAATACGGCTTAGAAAGTCGTGGTCAGCATCTTTGCAAATGACTGGTTTATGACAGACAAGAAAACCCCAAACCAATGTTTAAAACTGATCTAAAATGCACTTTTTCCCATGAATATCCACCCGGAGCTCCTTTCATGTTATTGGATGTGGAGTAGTTGACAGTGTCAACTCTGAAAGATATGCTGAAGAGAACGTTGTTGTACACCTGTAGGAGCAAAAGAACTCTCGGATTGTGCCTTCACTGGCATTTCATTTTGGCTAAGAAGTTTCCCTTTTAAACAAATCTGATGGTTTCCACTTCAGTTTGCACACTGGAGCAGAGTTGGAGGTTTGATACTTTCAGATGAAGCCAAAATGAAAGATCTGCAGCTACCAAGGAGTATTCAGTGCATAGGACCAGGCCAGATCTCCTTCAGAGCACGTCCCTTGCAGTGCGGACCACTGAGCTGCATCAGATGTTTTATTCCCCACTGACCACTCTGCTCTAAACAGAGCCAGGTGTTTCCAGCCATAGCTCCCCCAGCCTTGAGGAGACGTTAGCTGACCTTTAGTGCTGAATTTACGCAAAGTTGGGAATTTATTAGCTAACAGAGCAGGCTGATAGGAGTGTTGAATGCTTGCAGACTGTTCGCATAATCTGAGAGTACATGTGCAATGTTTCCATGCAGGTGATCCGATGTAATAGCCAAAGGCAGAGGAAAAAATCAAGGAAATGAATGACAGCAACAAATCCACCTTTCCTGTTCAGGTTGTGGGCCTCAAGAGGTCTCTACACCAACCTTCTGCTTCTTGTATCTTCTGACCAAGCTGCTTAGGGCTTTGTCCAGCAGGGTCTTGAAAACGTCCATGAATGGAGAGAGCACAACTTACCTGGGCAACCTGTGCCAACTTGATTGGTGATGTTTTTCCCGCTTAAATCAGAACCTCCATATACGACTGTTGCCTCTCATCCTGCTGCTGTGCACCTCAGTAGAGAGTTTTGCTCTTGGATTTCCCTTCAAGCCTTCTGACTGGATGCAGTTCCCTCAGCGTCTCCTTACAGGGCATGTGCTTCCACTCCCACACCAACTTCACTGCCCTCAACTGCACTCACTGCAATTTGTCAACTTCTTTTTCATACTGGGGGGCCCCAGAGTGTGATGTGGTTTTCCAGGTGTGATCTAACAAGTTCTGAGTAAAGAGAACTAATAATTCTTTTGATCTACTGGCTTCATGCCTGTAAAAACAACCTAGAATGTCTTTATAAAGGTAGCCTTGTTCATCACTGTGGCACCCTGCTTACTTATGTTTAACTTGGTAACTGTCAGGACCAAGTAAAGTCCATGGCTGGGCCTTAACTGCCCTGACACCCTCACTTGGGACTTTAGCATCTGGAGTACTATAGGTTTGCCTGTGCCAAGTCCTGTCTCCTATTGCCTTGGCTTATCTGTTGTCCTTTTTTGATGGACCTGTGTAATAAATAGCCTTGCCTCCAACCCTTTCTCCTGCATGGACCTTTTCTCTGTCTTCTGCTGTTCCTGGCTGGACTTTCTGTCTGGACTCTGGACATGACTCATCTCACCTTGCCTTGGACTCTCAAGACCTATGACTGCCTCAGCCCGACCCGGATCCAATGGAACTGCACCCAGGTTAGTGAGGCCATTGCCTTGCCTGTCCTGTGGTCAGCTTCAGTTCCCAGCTTATCCACCCTCATGGAGTGGTCCTGCTCATGTTGTCCTTGACACAGTCCACCAGGAGCTCCAGATTCCTTTTTCAGTGAGTGTTCAGTCTATACTGCTGCAGTGGTTATTCCATTTTAGGTAAGGTATGACCCACAGGATCCATCCGTCAGTTCCCTGAATAGGCATAGTGTTTTGATCAATCTGTATCTTTCCTCTTTCCCCTGAAGTTGTCTGTTTGAGCACACTTCAGCATGTTCATTAAATCCACTTCTCTTTTACAAGTGATATGACATGTGCAAATGAAATCGTGCATTTTGCCATATCATCATGAGGTGTATCTTGCCCTCATTTTCAATGAAAGGATTGAGTGGAGTAATCTTCAGTAAAAATGAACATGTTCAAGTAGTCATATTTTCTGTCAGCTGTATTACAATCCTAACGTTCTCTTGGCTAGTCTTAGAAAAGCTGATTGTTCATTTGTCTTGTCAGAGTGAATGCTGAAGCTATTTCTGCTGTTGGCTAAAAAAGATGCATCACGTTCTTCCTTCATGCTTCCCTCTTTTGTGGTGTTGATACTCTTAAAATAGTTCAAAGCTTTTGGACTTGTTGCCAAAAGAATATTGTTGGTAGTGGAGCTTGTGCTTCCTGCTCTAGCAGTCCTCCTCTAGCTTGCTTTCTCCCACATCTGAAAACAGCCAACTACTGCTAAAGAATAAAATGTTAAGGAAAATGAACTCACAGTTGGTAGTAAAACAGTTGTGACTTAGGTTTTTTTGGTTTTGTTTTAAATATGTAATCAGTCCTATGCATGCATACAATAAAACTAGGAAGGATCTGTTGTAGTCAGGAGCATCTAACAAAGTCTAGAGTAAGGAAATAGAAGTGACTGAGCTAGATGAAGTAAGGAAATCAGAGTCAGTAGGGAAGTGGATCACTCGTATGAAAGTGCAATGACAACTGCAAGCATGCAAGTGGCAAGCTTGGGAGGAATTAATCTTTCATCACTGGTTAGGTAGGCGCTTTAGAAACCATCCTCTCATCAGGACATGCATCTTGATTTATTTTCTATGCTTGATTTCCTGGTGTTCCTAAGATTGTTTTCCAATTGTTTTTAAGAGATGTCTTCCCACATAGCTTGAACTTATATTTTCAGGAGACCTCATTTCTCTGGCCAGGATGTCCAGTTTTCTTCCTTTCCTGGGTACCTTTTTCCTAACGCCTACCTTCGCTGGCTGGATTTCTGCAGCAATTCCTGTAGGAAATTCTGTAAAGAAATTGCAAATAAATTCTGCAATAAATTCCTGCCATACTTCCTGATTTATTGCTGGCTTTTCATCAGCGCTTAGCAGAAGTCTGTTCAGAGTAGTAGTTCCAGTACTAGCTGTTCCAGTTGTTATAGTCTGTGATGCTCATTTCCAGTGACACAGGAGATCTCCCACCAGACACTTCAAAAAATTCTGATTAATTCCTTTGGACAACTTGGCTAGATTTCCATACAAATGGCCTCAGTCAAGTTGCCTGGGCATAGTAAGTCACTGTGCCCCTCTTGAGGAAAAGCTTCTGCCAAAATTATTGTAAGCAAATTTGGTAGCACTGGCCTGTGCTGTTGGTCAGTACTTCCTGTTATGAACCCAGGTCTCCATTGCCTTTCAAGTTTGGTTAAAAATTTAAAATTTTGGGAATATAGGTTTCTCTGGAAGGTAACTATTACAAACTTAAAGAATATGTATTCTTGTGCTAAAATGGTATTTGCTTCTGAGAACATAACTAGGGAAAAATCAAGTTGAAAGACTGAGGCTTTTGCAGAAAGCAACTTTTTTTTTTTTAATCGGTTTAAAGTTTGAGAAAGAGCAAAATTTTGATTGGAAAGCATCTCTTTCCGTACCTGATAGTCAGTTTGTGTTTGGGCACATTTAAAATAATAAGCTGAGAAGACTTATACGTATTTGATTTGATAAAGCAAATTCAACCTGCAGATTTCTCTTCTGAATAACAATTCGTCAGTGACAGTTCATGTAGAATCTTGGAACAATCCTTTCCCTCAAGGCTCTCACACATAACTGCACTGTACAAGCCTCATCCTCCAGACCATGCCCCAGCTCCTCACAGCTTTTGCTTCTGGCTGCAGTCTCTGCAGTCCCCACTCATTTTTCTCTTACACCTGGTATCCTTCAGAATCACTGAATCATTTAGGTTGGAAAAGACCTCCAAGTCCATCGAGTTCAACCTCTGACCGATCACCACCTTGACAACTAGACCATAGCAGAGTCCCTGCAGAGAATGGTTGTCTTCTGTTATTTCCCAAAGTCTTTTTCATGCATAAATTAAGATCCAACTCTAAATCAAAGGTCTGTGAGAGAAAGAGCTTGTCCACGGTAGAAACATCACCTTTGCTGTTGAGGAAGTGCAGGATAAATGAAAATGATTAAGCAGATTCTAGGAATTCTGAGAGAGTACCTGTCTTTCCTTGCCCATTCCTGCATTGCTCTGGTGAGGGGTTTAAACCAGGGATCATATTTTTGCTGTGTCTATTTTTATGGGTCTTGAATTGATTTCTGGGGTCTATTTGCAGCAGAACTGCAGTACTAAAACTGCAAGTAAAGACACTGAGAGCATCATGGAAGTACTTATTTGGCATCTGAAGAAGGGTTCTTTTGGATTGTTCACACTCTGAAGTAAACATTTGCTCTTCAGTTTATTTCTTACAAAGCAACAGTACACAATGTTGGA